TGTAAGCAACTTTGAGGTAAGTCATTGCATATTTGGTAATGATTCGGTGGGAAATTCCCAAACATGAAGAAATACACAGAACCATTAGGTAGAGTAGATGTCTCAAGCCTTCCAGGCTGGGGCCCGAAAGACTCTGCAACTGATTGCTTGGAGACACTGAAGGATATGGCGACTAACCGACAGTAGTGGCGTTCTTATTAAGTCAGAATGCTTGAAAAGCCATGTATGCACTCTTAGATTGTGTACTCTGTGTTGACTACAGAGGTTCACTTGCTTTGCCTCCTTCCAATTAGACCCAAACTCTATCCATCCATTGTAGTTTGTCACTTACTGTGNAGTGCATTCAGAGCTTGGCAGCGATCGGCGAAGTTTACTTCTTTGTATCCCGCTGCTTGATGACGATGATGAGCCGGTTGACTTCTGACGGACGAACAGTTGACCATCGCAATGCACGAAACACCCGGAAAATCAAATTTGAATGTATTCATACCCAGCGGCAACGAGGGTCATTAGAAAGGACCAGAACACGTTTATATTGGTATGTTATGTTTGGCTTCTGGACACAAAGACTACACATTAAAGCAAACACGAATATCACACTAAGGGAATAGGAAACGAATGTGGTATGGGGTTCACAATCGCAACGAAGTGACGCGGATAGCAAAAATCTGGGTACCTCAGACGGCAAGATCGCATCCACGCAGCAATTTCAGTGGATGCGCACGAACATCAAAGTAGAAGACAGAACAAATTCATATGGGGAAATAAACACACAAAGACATCTAAAACCACCGGAAAATAGTTATACACTCACCAGATGATCTTGAGAATTCTGCAGCCGGTCTAGCTTCAAATTGGTTTCACGCAGTAGGCTTTCTGTGGCTTCCTTTTTCATAGTCAAGTCGTGTATTTGTTGTTTAAACTCTGAGCATTGCTGATTGAAAGATCAAAGGAAAGTGAGAACCGATCACAATTTCCAATGTCATGAGCGTATAACACCAAAGCCGAAGCCGACTTTTGAACAAATAACATTCGCGATAAAATTCTGATCTGATATGGAAATACGAATGAACTTTTTGGACAACTCAGATCGTAGAGCAGACAAATCAAAGGTGTTGAACATTGCCAAGAAAATTATTTGTGCGAGTGTGACTCCGGACCAGTAACTGAAGAATCGCACAAAAATAAAACTTCTCAAAAACCGTAGTGCATGCGTAATGATAATTCCAAGCAGGCATATGGCCCGGATAAATGTGCATTCAGTTGTGGATCGCGTAGGGTTTCCTTCTTTTAGCCGTGACAAGGACCATGAGAATCGGTTTTTTAGGGAATTGATCGTGGCTCTGGGATAAAACCCAACTTGAGTTGACGCAATTTTGCACCCAGTGCAAAATCAACTCAGATCGATGACACATCACAACTGGTTGCGATTTATGTCATAAGGATTCACTTCGCTTCAGTATATACCCATTAGCACAAAGTTTCTATTAAGACCTAGCATCGTGATTGCCGTGGGAACTACGTTCAAATCCACTATATTCACCGAAAAGTTACAAATGAGGGATTAACAATTTGAAAAGCTTCTTTAGGTCTTGGTACATAAACAAAGAATTTATCGAAAAATTGAGCAACGTTTCTCAACGCCCACTTTGTTTTCATCTTTTTAGTGGCCTACTTATCCTTTAAAAAAAATCAGTAAAACCAGACCAGACTTGTGGAGATAAATAATCAAACTGAAACGAACTGAGACAATGAGAGACATCTGTTTTCAACGTTCACCCTGAGAGATGTGGGATAAACACAAACAAGAATGATACAAATTTGGTACTCGCATATACATCAGTTTCCACAACGTTTGAAAGGAACTCTTACAGTAGTGACGTCTTCCGGGTATTCTTTTAACGCTATTATCGGTCACCAATTCCAGAACAACTGAGACAAAGCAGTTTAGTTAAACACAAACATGAAGCAAAGCAAGCTACAGAAAAAACAGGACTTGAAGAAATACCTTCGTTTCTTCAGTCAGCTTGTCGCGAGCAGCAAAATACTTATCCTCGTACTCCACACATCGATTGCGTAATTCACGCTGATATTGTTTTGCATCCATGAGCTTTTGGTTCAAATCCTGAAAAGACATGACAAAGCGTTATACATTAACCTGGTTTCTAGCCATCTCATGACACGTCTTCTTTTCCATACGCACATATACGATAAAGTAAGTAGCGTCTGAATTATTGGACAAAACGTCCTAGGAAGCAAAACGACCAGATTCGCGGCTGTTTCCACTCTTCAGGTATGCGTCTCAGTCTTTCGTCAGATTATTCATATAGTCGCACAATGGATCATGAATTCTATACTTACAACTAAGTGCTATTCGTTAAATCATAATCAAGTTATCTATTTGTAAATCCTCATTAGGATTCTATTTACTATTTGTGGGTAAGGCACTGCTACCCGCTACAAGCTCAACATAAATAACTTTTTGACAATATTGTACTGTAAGATGTATCATACATATGCATTGGGATGAACTAGAGTATGGTAAATTAAAAATTACAGTACTCTCATTCACCGTCTCGCATTCATCCGAGCGAGAGCAAAGTAAATATTTCCTGCATTAAAAATAACCCTGGATAACTATTACGGATACAAAGAGTTCTCTTTTTTAGCGAACAAATGCAATAAAGAATAAGCAGATGCCTTGGGGAGACGGAAAGACATGCCTGAATCTCGCGGTTCAACCGACTTTCGCATTCCCTTGCACGGCGTTGGTCAGCCACCATGACGTCTAATGTGCCGATTTGCTGTTTGGACGCTTCCCATGCCTCTTTGAGCTCGCGGTTTGCCACTTCTACTGCTGCACGACTGTCAGCAATACGCTGTGTGGTCATGCGGTGTTGTTTGACGATAAAGTTGATGAGGCCACGTGCGAGGTCCGAATCTTCCTGACCAAAAGTCGCCAGAGTGGACGCGTCTTGACTGAACTCGTTGTTCAAACATAAACGTTGCAGTATATCAGTTAAATCAGTTTCCACAAAATCATCTGGTAGGCCGGTTAGGCGAGACTGCACGGAGAACACAGGGAATCAAGCGAATGTAGAGCCGTAGAACAGAAAGCCATTTTCAACCATAGGAAAATGAGTGCATCAAGAGAATGTACATACCGGGATATTTAGCAGATTTACAACCGGGGAAAAATCACTGGTAACTGTTGTTAGTTAATTATTCTACACAATAATTAATCGCGCATTTCATTTTAAAGTAAGAGCTCCGGAGGACACGAACAGTAGTACTTTACGCAAACAGGCATATCTCCAAGTTGTAAATAAGAGAGCAGTCAATGAATGAGTGGACGGTGAATCACAGAATACACGTTCAAACGCGATCGACAGAAACGTCTGAGGTTGTGGCGGATTTTGTCTCCAGACAAGAGAACACTGAAACTAAGGGTCATGGATGTACGGAGAAAGCACAAATCCGGGTCATCACTAAAGAGCAATCATTATCATCTTGCTGTCTTACAGGTAACACTCTACTGTACAATGACTGGAGGTGCATTCTCAAAGGAAAAGGCCAAGTGGCAAAAGGGAAGCTCTTCAAATCAGTCGGTTCCAATCACATTTTGCAACCATCAACTATCCCTCACGGATTCCCCTACGAATCCGACCAATTCACTCATGTGGGAGAAAAACGGTTGAAAATGAAAAAATGCGAAGCACATAGCGGAAACAGTGATTGACGATTGGTATACCGTCCTAGTAATTAAACCACAAACGTTCGGTAGATTCAGCTACAACTGCGCATGGGGAAACAAGATTTGACTCTGCAATCACACCAAAAGGTTGAGGGACGTACCACAACTAAACGGATCTTTTCCACAATCAACCGATAACGTTCAGATACTGCAACTTCACTTCGAAGACTGGTATTCTTTTCATTTAATTGCTTGATACAGTCCAACAACTGCTCGAAAGTAGCCCTGAAATGCACAAATGCACACCAAGAGTTGAGAAATATATATGAACTAGTCAATTTTAAACTTCGAAATGAGTGAAATGATATATCTAAATACGGTTGGCTTATTGAAAAGGATAATCCAGATTCATGAGGATCAAGAAATTTGATGATAAAAGGGACAGCTTCAGTGGTAATCATCTTTCTTTGAGGGCACACTTCTAACAATTGCACAACCAAGTGCAAACTCCAAGATCACAGTGAGTTTACTACATGGTTGCCACCGGCTCTTTGAGAGGTCATTCGTCATTCAGCATATCTCAATACAATCCAGGGGTTTATGCATTCCTATTAGTTGACCAGAATTCTTTTTAGAGCCGTTGGATGTTCACCCGCCAAGGAGTGGCTGTCTTAGCGTATCGTAGGCTTTTTCGATGAGGTTTTTGGATCCTGGTTACCTTCAAACCGGTTTAGCAGAGCGGTTTGTGGGACCAACCGCAGATGGATGAATCAGCTTTTTGAAACCATAGGCGCGAGTGGGTGAAAGAAGGAGACCAAACAAATGGAATATGCTTTAAGGAACACGAAAATTTACAAATTCAGAAGCGCTGCTATTGGTAGATACCCATTATACCCCTAAAATAATGGCCAGGTAGAAAAGCAACGAAGGCAATACACTATATTAAAACTATCCTCTCTTCGGATTGGGATTAATAAAAGTGTATATAGAATAAAAATTGTGGGGAAGGGCAAACAGTCTCAAGATACATACAAATTTTGAAGAGTGGATGTGCATTTAACAAATGAAGAGTTCAGCGTCTATTAACCACACTATGCATAGACTCATCATTCTTTAATAATTCTGTTCAGTAAGCCAGGTCAATGTTTTTCAACTATTTACAGATAATTCTAAAATTTGATGAGACAGTAGTTTCGTTAAAATTTGACACTGGGCGTTCGATTTCCCCTTGCACATGTCAATGATTTGAAGGATATCGACAAGTAATATCGTATTTTGAATTATTTATATACTGTGGTAAAATAGGGTCCAGACAACAGAAACGCCACTTACCCCGTTTTGTCTGAAATGAAATCAGGAAGTTTATCCATAGTGTTCTTGAGGTCATTCATTGCACCGGCTGTCTCCCAAACTTTGGCTATTTGAGTTTGTAGGTACTGAAAAGCGGAGTTTTCAAGCAAATGGAGAGGGTGATCCGATGCGTGATGATTCAGTTTGATGCTTTTAGAACGATTGAACTATAAATAGTTTGAAAGTATGCCACCGAATGCCTAGATTGCGAGGAGGGGATCGGCCACCAATCTGGTGGCTGACTGTAAATAAGGTGTGCTCAGGTTCACTGTGTGAGCGATCGGTGGCACGACTCGAGAACTCGGTGGGGTTTAGCTTGGTTAGCGATTTTCACCATAAGACATCGCATTGCGATATGGCGATACAGCCTGTCAATGATAAGGTAACTGCACTTGTTATGACGTGGTTTTCCGAAAGAGGTGAATGAGATGCACGATAGGTAACCAGCTTGTAAACTGCATTTGAATATACAAAAGCTAGAAATCCAATCAGGATGAAGTGATTTTAGTCCACCTACTGAGTGCGTGAGTTATAACACAATTCCGAACAGTGCTGGGGACACTCCTATGTATTATAAATCCCCCTTCCCCAAGATTCCAAGGATGATATCAATGGAGTCGACTAATCGAGTTGAGAGTTAGGTTCTGACTGGAACGCACAACCACCAGAGATCACTAATGCGAGTGACACGGAATACAGATAGCTGATCAATTTCATTGATAAGGGTGATGGAATCGGTCGATCGATAAAATCGAATCGGGGAAGGTATGACGAATTATATAAACACCTATTTCAGGTAACGAGGTAAGAAAGAGGCACCAGAGGATAAGCAAGTGATTAGTGCAGTGGTGATTGGGGTTTAAACATATATTTGATAAGCTGTCAAGAGCATTATCAAGATCGAGATAAACGATTCAGGTAAACTAGATACCACTAAAAAGAGTGCACGTTTGAATATCACGGTTAACTACACTACTACACCGTAACGTCCAATCTCCACAAACATTGACTGGGTTGATCCCAAGATCCCCGGGCCGGAAGCTGATCACTACTTACACAATCAAGGTTTTCATACTTTCATTCTCAGTTACCCTTGGTTTCCTTTTAATCTTTAGCTGC